ACCACTGTGGTAGTGGGAGTGTTGTGGGGCTACACCCACCACCATGGGAGCACCACTGTGGTAGTGGGAGTGGTGTGGGGCTACACCCACCACCATGGGAGCCACCCACAGTCACGTCTGGGTAGCGCTGGAATCATTACTTCAGTTTTTACAGGAATAATTCTCAGAGAGAGAGACCAGAGTAAGATTGTTGTGAAGGGGGCGGGCGGTTAATGGTGGGGGAGGATATGAGGGCTCGTCTTAAAAGGATGGCCGTAATTAGGCGAGGACCCTTAGTCATTACGGTGCTTAATGACCTGTTCCTGGTGCTGTTGGCCCAGCGCCTCTGCCACTAACACAGTGCCATGCCACACCTGGCACTAGAGACCAGTGTCTGGAGGAATACTGTTGTTGGACCCACCTTATTGCGGACGTCACTTCAGTCTTTGCAAGTGGTATCTTGCGGTAATCAGCTGGGCTGTTTCTCAGTTATATTTGGTGGGGTATATTGCTCTGGTTATACTGAGAGTTGTGGAGGCTCGCTCACCGCCACATATCATTCACGATGGGGAATATTGTCGTCCAGCAGCGAGCGGTAATATTGGCCGGAGTATATCACTGTAATGTGTCCTGGGTATATTGTTGGGCTCTTGCTCACAGATTGGCTGTGTGGCTCCTGGTGATATTGTGTGTGTGTGTGTGTGTGTGTGTGTGTGTGTGTGTGTGTGTGTGTGTGTGTGTGTGTGTGTGTGTCTGTGTCTGTGTCTGTGTCTGTGTCTGTGTGTGTGTGTGTGTGTGTGTGTGTGTATGTGTGTGTGTGTGTGTACTCACCTTGTTGTGTTTGTGGGGGTTGAGCTCTGGCTCTTTGGTCCCGCCTCTCAACCGTCAATCAACAGGTGTACAGATTCCTGAGCCTATTGGGCTCTATCATATCTACACTTGAAACTGTGTATGGAGTCAGCCTCCACCACATCACTGCCTAATGCATTCCATTTGTCAACCACTCTGACACTAAAAAAGTTCTTTCTAATATCTCTGTGGCTCATTTGGGCACTCAGTTTCCACCTGTGTCCCCTTGTGCTTGTTCCCCTTGTGTTAAATAGACTGTCTTTATCTACCCAATCAATTCCCTTCAGAATTTTGAATGTGGTGATCATGTCCCCCCTAACTCTTCTGTCTTCCAGCGAAGTGAGGTTTAATTCCCGTAGTCTCTCCTCGTAGCTCATACCTCTCAGCTCGGGTACTAGTCTGGTGGCAAACCTTTGAACCTTTTCCAGTTTAGTCTTATCCTTGACTAGATATGGACTCCATGCTGGGGCTGCATACTCCAGGATTGGCCTGACATATGTGGTATACAAGGTTCTGAAAGATTCTTTACACAAGTTTCTGAATGCCGTTCGTATGTTGGCCAGCCTGGCATATGCCGCTGATGTTATCCGCTTGATATGTGCTGCAGGAGACAGGTCTGGCGTGATATCAACCCCCAAGTCTTTTTCCTTCTCTGACTCCTGAAGAATTTCCTCTCCCAGATGATACCTTGTATCTGGCCTCCTGCTCCCTACACCTATCTTCATTACATTACATTTGGTTGGGTTAAACTCTAACAACCATTTGTTCGACCATTCCTTCATCTTGTCTAGGTCTTCTTGAAGCCTCAAACAGTCCTCTTCTGTTTTAATCCTTCTCATAATTTTAGCATCATCCGCAAACATTGAGAGAAATGAATCGATACCCTCCGGGAGATCATTTACATATATCAGAAACAAGATAGGACCGAGTACAGAGCCCTGTGGGACTCCACTGGTGACTTCACGCCAATCGGAGGTCTCACCCCTCACCGTAACTCTCTGCTTCCTATTGCTTAGATTGCTTGCTGTGTGTGTGTGTGTGTGTGTGTGTGTGTGTGTGTGTGTGTGTGTGTGTGTGTGTGTGTGTGTGTGTCCCCCTCTCTCCCTCTCTTTTTTTTTTATTCCCCCTCCCCCGGCTCCCCCCACTACCCTCCCCTCTCTCCACCCCTCCCCCACTTCCCTCCCCTCTCTAATTTCCCCTCTCCCCCATTCCCCTCCCCTCACTCCGCCCCTCCCCCCTCTCCCTGTACATATGTGGCAGTGTGTGAGGGAGGCAGGGCGGGGCTGCCACACCACCAACACCGGGCCAGCACCTACACATGCCCGCACACAAGTCTACGGCGGCAGGAAACATCTCGCCAATATCGTGGTTTAAGACATTTTCCACGAGTACAGTAGAGAGAGTAAAGGGTGTAGGCTTTGTGTAACACCCATACCCGGGTACATTAAGAAACGCAGACATTGTGAGAGTTTGGTCCACCAGGCTGTTGCCTGGAGCGGCCCGCAGGCCCACATACCCACCACAGCCCGGTTGGTCCGGCACTTCGCGGAGAAAACTATCCCGTTTTCTGAAAGCTTAGACTCGGTTATAAGTATCTCTGGGAATTCTCATTATCTGCTGATGTAGACCTGACCAAATGTAAACTGTGTCAACAAAATTATTCGCACACCCTCCGTCACTATGTGATGGAGTGCGAAAAGATACGTAAATTTAAAGACAATTCTATAACCAATGTTCCAGAGATGTGTAAATATTTCATTCAAAATGATCTGCTACCAGAAATTTTAGCTAAATATCCCCAGTTTGCTAACTGTAGGTAGTAACTGATTGATTGTAACCTATCCACCGCTGCTCACTGGATGGGGGGCGGTGTGCAGGACAAACATATCAATTGGGACACTATAGCTCTCCACATATGTCAGTTGCTTAATTTTGAACCTGTACTTGTGGTCGGTCTCGAGCCCATTGTTGATGTGACGACTTATACTGAATTTTGTAACTAGCTCATCAAGATTGTAACTTGCTTAGCTAAATGAATTGTGGGGTTCAGTCCCTGAGCCCATTATGTGCCTCTGTAACCCTTTCCACTACCGCCCACAAGATGAGTATGGGGTGCATAATAAATGAACTAAACTAAAAAAAACTAACTCTTGAAGATGTCCACGGTTGTTCCGGCAATATTGGACGATGGTACAGTGCTGTCTGGTAGGCCTCGGGCCGGACACCTTTACTCCTCTACAGTCAAGAGCAGAGGTGCCATAGGCACAATCAGAGAACACTGTATAAACATCAGAGGTCCGCGGTTGTTCAACGTCCTCCCAGCGAGCATAAGAAATATTGCCGGAACAACCGTTATCTTGAGGTTATCTTTAGATGATTTTGGGGCTTAGTGTCCCCGCGGCCCGGTCCTCGACCAGGTCTCTACCCCCAGGAAGCAGCCCGTGACAGCTGACTAACACCCAGGTACCTATTTACTGCTAGGTAACAGGGGCATCAGGGTGAAAGAAACTGCCCATTGTTTCTCGCCGGCGCCCGGGATCGTCCCCGGGACCACAGGATCACGCGTCCAGTGTTCTGTCCGCTCAGCCACCGGCCCCCGTGGACATCTTCAAGAGAAAACTAGATAGTTTCTACCAAGGAGTGCCGGATCAACCGGGCTGTGGTGGGTATGTGGGCCTGCGGGCCGCTCCAAGCAACAGCCTGCTGGACCAAACTCTCACAAGTCAAGCCTGGCCTCGGGCCGGGCTTGGGGAGTAGAACAACTCCCAGAACCCCATCAACCTGGTATCAACCAGGAACAATCCCCATATGCCACCCCTCTCCTTCCATACTCTGACCCATAGTCCTCTACCCCCAACCTCCCCCTCATCCCCCCCCCAATTCACGTCACTCTCAACGTAATTTTGTCGTAGTTGTTGAGGAGTTGTGAGGTCCGGGATCTTCGTCCTCTAGGTCATTCTTGTCCTGGGTTGTGTAATTCCCGCTTCCCTTCACAACTGTTGATTTGATTCTTAATCTGAATTTTTTATATTGTGTGATTTTATTACAGCCGGTCTATAGTTTTCAGCAAATGCTTTGCTGCCTCTCCTGCACAGTGGAGGTGTTTGCTGATTTAAGTGCTTCTGGGATCTTGCCTGTGTCCAAGTTTTTCCTCCGTATTACCCTGAGTGCTCGTGTTACCGCTACTTGACACGTCTTTATGAATACGAGATGCCACCAGTTGGGACCCAGAGTTGAGTGCATCTTGTCAATCTCGCTATCGAAATCTTGTGTTATAATGTTATATATAATATCAGTTATATTATATGGGGCCCTGGATATCATTCATAAAGAAGCTGTCTGGGTCATCAACATTCATGTTGTTTATTGGTGTGATAAACAGCCTCATACTGGTCTCTTAGAATTTCACTAATTTCTTTATCATCCTCTGTGTACGAGTCTTCAGTTGTAAGTAAAGGTCCAATACTGGCCGAGGTTTTTGGGTTAAATTATTGTATGTGAAAACGTATTTAGTATTTGTCTTTATCTCTGGTATAACATTTGCTTCTAATTTTATTTCGGTCTAGCGTGATGCTTCAACTTTAGCTGTTTCTTCAATATCCCCTTTTTTTGTGCGGGGGGGGGGGGGGAGCCATGTCTGCAGTCTCTGCCTACGGTGGTCGTCTCTGATCTTACGCACAGGAACGCATTTGAAGCAGAATTTACGCTCTGCGGCAGTCAGTTGTTCTGTCCCGGTGTGCGTCAGATCACTTACACGGCTTCCCATTGGTTGTTTGTAAGTTCTGTTTTTTGTTTTAACCCCAATCACCTGGGGCTCGGGTAGTAGAATAACCCGTGAAACACACTCCAGGTATGTCCCAGGTGGGGGGGGGGGAGGGAGCATGTGCCGCGAGGTACTGTGTACACTGGAGTGATCACTGTGGTTCACCGTCCGTCACAGTTGTGTTGGTCCAGAGTGTTGTGATACACTTCCAGTGATGACTGTGCCCAGTGTTCCCTCACTGTGTCATGTAAATACTACAGATATTGTATATTGTGTGTTATAATGCCGCTGATCATATCCCTCTGGTAATAAGAATATATATTTTAGCACCAAATACATCTGTGAGTGTTGGTAATGTTGTATAAAGTTTGTGTTTGAGTTGTAAATGAAGAGTGTTGTTGTGTTCTAGGCGGCGTCGCGGCCGACGCTGCTGCCGGAGCTGGGGGCCGGGGACATGAGCAAGCTGTGTAACCACCGCCGGAAGCTGGCCATCGCCTTCACACACCACCTTCACAATAATGCTAAGAAAGGTAAGTGGTGGCCACTTGTCGTGTGTGGTAGGGGGCCCTCACGACCCCTCTAGGGGCCCACCTCACCTGTCGTGGAGGTGTAACACCACTATAATGGAACACCACTATAATGGAACACCACTATAATGGAACACCACTATAATGGATACTCTAAACTAATAAAGTACACACTACTACGTATCCTGAGTAACACTTCCCCATTGGTTGCACTTGGTAACACTGTTATTGAACACTGTAATATGAGCTGACATATGATGGTTACACAGGAACCAAAAGGTACACTGCCAGCAAGGAAATGCTAACACAAGGATTAAATAACGCTGCCACCATCTGCCTTTGACCATTGAGACTGTATCAAGCAACGAGGCAAGAAACATTGCTTGACTTGGAGAGTACTTTCTATGACTGTCATTAATTATGAAAACGGTTGTCAGCCACTATATGCAAAAGGCTAAGAGGATTCAACAATTGACACAGACGGGAAATTTAACATGAGTTTATTGAGACCAAAATTATGTCAATCACCGCTTATAAATCCTACTCTAACACTGGCAAAAATTTAAGAAATTTGGACTTGGAACAAAACCTCAGAGATCACACACATTACCTTAAGACCTCTGTCTCTCCCTGGCTGTGAGATGTTCTTCACAGACCCGCTCTCGATCCTGGTGTCCCACACTCTCTTCTCACTAAGTCTCTACAGGACCTCTATATACAACCCCCACAGGGGGGAGGGGGGAGATTTGCTGTTGCTACCTACACCAAGAATGTAAGAAGTCGGCCCACGTGCACAAACACTTAAAAATATTTCAATTAAGCTTGTTTGACATTCACCATACACTCTTCAAGAGAGGAGTTATTAATTACGTGTGTGACTGACCTTTGACTTGGCTAAAAGGGGGAGATCCATGGATGTTTACACATAAGAATCTGGAGTCTAATTCCATTGCAATGTTTGACAAGAGTATCATGAAATATTACATACTTGAAACTATGCTGACAAAGACTAACCCAGGAATTTTTTAATCAACATACAAGATAATCCGGAGGTCATCTGGGCTGACCTCTTGGAGAAGGCTTCCCTGGGTGTGAACTCTAAGGGGGGGGGGGGTCATGGGTGTTACAGAGGAAGGAGGGGCCCACCTTTCCTGTCGTGGAGGGATTAGGGGCCCACCTCACCTGTCGTGGAGGGAGGGGCCCCACCTCACCTGTCGTGGAGGGAGGGGCCCCACCTCACCTGTCGTGGAGGGAGAAGGGCCCACCTCACCTGTCGTGGAGGGAGGGGCCCCACCTCACCTGTCGTGGAGGGAGAAGGGCCCACCTCACCTGTCGTGGAGGGAGGGGCCCCCACCTCACCTGTCGTGGAGGGAGGAGGGCCCACCTCACCTAGGGGCCCACCTGGGAGGGAAGCCTCACCTTCAAGAATCAATTAGTTAAGTTGGTGCAGGAGTGAGGGAGCCACCAGGTTGTTGTGGCTGTGTCAGGCCTTCACGCCGCTACAAGACCCACACTTGTAGGTCAAGTTATGACAACACCAGCCTGCTCCCAGACCCAGCCTGTGGAGTAGTGAACAACTCCCACAACCCCCCCCCCAGGTACACTCTGGGTACACTAGGTACACTCCAGGTACACTAGGTACACTCCAGGTACACTCCGGGTACACTAGGTACACTTTAGGTACACTCCAGGTACACTAGGTACACTTTAGGTACACTCCAGGTACACTAGGTACACTTTAGGTACACTCCAGGTACACTAGGTACACTTTAGGTACACTCCAGGTACACTAGGTACACTCCAGGTACACTCCGGGTACACTAGGTACACTTTAGGTACACTCCAGGTACACTAGGTACACTCCAGGTACACTAGGTACACTTTAGGTACACTAGGTACACTCCAGGTACACTCCAGGTACACACAGAAGGAACACAGCTTATGTAGGACAGGCGTAAATGTATGTATTTGTGTCTGTAGGTTAGGGTAGGCTTTTAAAAGCAATACAATCACCTGTGGTTGATTGTTCAATAAATCACTGAACTATATGTTTAACAGATCTCTCACCCTGTCCATGCAGGACAGAAGAAAATGTATATATGTGGGTTAGTATTGTAAATGTTAAGAGTAAGCGATATGGAAGAAAATGCAGAATAGAACCAGTGAAGAGCAGAGGTGCCATAGGCACAATCAGAGAACACTGTATAAACATCAGAGGTCCGCGGTTGTTCAACGTCCTCCCAGCAAGCATAAGAAATATTGCCGGAACAACCGTGGACATCTTCAAGAGAGAACTAGATAGTTTCCTCAAGGAGTGCCGGACCAACCGGGCTGTGGTGGGTATGTGGGCCTGCGGGCCGCTCCAAGCAACAGCCTGGTGGACCAAACTCTCACAAGTCAAGCCTGGCCTCGGGCCGGGCTTGGGGAGTAGAAGAACTCCCAGAACCCCATCAACCAGGTATTGTTTGTCTTACTCACTTACTGTGTTGGTTATGAAACAGTACTGGGTCAAGTACAGACCTTGGGAGACAGTACTGGGTCAAGTACAGACCTTGGGAGACAGTACTGGGTCAAGTACAGACCTTGGGAGACAGTACTGGGTCAAGTACAGACCTTGGGAGACAGTACTGGGTCAAGTACAGACCTTGGGAGACAGTACTGGGTCAAGTACAGACCTTGGGAGACAGTACTGGGTCAAGTACAGACCTTGGGAGACAGTACTGGGTCAAGTACAGACCTTGGGAGACAGTACTGGGTCAAGTACAGACCTTGGGAGACAGTACTGGGTCAAGTACAGACCTTGGGAGACAGTACTGGGTCAAGTACAGACCTTGGGAGACAGTACTGGGTCAAGTACAGACCTTGGGAGACAGTACTGGGTCAAGTACAGACCTTGGGAGACAGTACTGGGTCAAGTACAGACCTTGGGAGACAGTACTGGGTCAAGTACAGACCTTGGGAGACAGTACTGGGTCAAGTACAGACCTTGGGAGACAGTACTGGGTCAAGTACAGACCTTGGGAGACAGTACTGGGTCAAGTACAGACCTTGGGAGACAGTACTGGGTCAAGTACAGACCTTGGGAGACAGTACTGGGTCAAGTACAGACCTTGGGAGACAGTACTGGGTCAAGTACAGACCTTGGGAGACAGTACTGGGTCAAGTACAGACCTTGGGAGACAGTACTGGGTCAAGTACAGACCTTGGGAGACAGTACTGGGTCAAGTACAGACCTTGGGAGACAGTACTGGGTCAAGTCTCTCTCTACCCCACTCCCTACCCCCACTCTCCCTACCCCCACTCTCCCTACCCCCACTCTCCCTACCCCCACTCTCCCTACCCCACTCTCCCTACCCCACTCTCCCTACCCGAACTCTCCCTACCCCCACTCTCCCTACCCCCACTCTCCCTACCCCCACTCTCCCTACCCCCACTCTCCCTACCCCCACTCTCCCTACCCCCACTCCCTACCCCCACTCTCCCAACCCCCACTCTCCTACCCGAACTCTCCCTACCCCCACTCACCCTACCCCCACTCTCCCTACCCCCACTCTCCCTACCCCCACTCTCCCTACCCCACTCTCCCTACCCCCACTCTCCCTACCCCCACTCTCCCTACCCCCACTCTCCCTACCCCCACTCTCCCTACCCCCACTCTCCCTACCCCCACTCTCCCTACCCCCACTCTCCCTACCCCACTCTCCCTACCCCCACTCACCCTACCCCCACTCTCCCTACCCCCACTCTCCCTACCCCCACTCTCCCTACCCCCACTCTCCCTACCCCCACTCTCCCTACCCCCACTCTCCCTACCCCCACTCTCCCTACCCCCACTCTCCCTACCCCCACTCTCCCTACCCCCACTCTCCCTACCCCCACTCTCCCTACCCCCACTCTCCCTACCCCCACTCTCCCTACCCCCACTCTCCCTACCCCCACTCTCCCTACCCCCACTCTCCCTACCCCACTCTCCCTACCCCCACTCTCCCAACCCGAACTCTCCCTACCCCCACTCTCCCAACCCGAACTCTCCCTACCCCCACTCTCCCTACCCCCACTCTCCCTACCCGAACTCTCCCTACCCCTACTCTCCCTACCCCCACTCTCCCTACCCCCACTCTCCCTACCCCCACTCTCCCTACCCCCACTCTCCCTACCCCACTCTCCTGCCTACTCTTCACCCCCCCCCCCTCACTTGGAAGTACTGTGTTCAGAATACAAATACATGCAAATACTGGCAGGAAATCTGTGGGAAAGACTCAGAGAGACACACGCACTCCCAGGGTCTGTCTGGCGCTTGTGGCTGAGTGGGCAGCACGCTGGATACGTAGTCCTGAGGTCCGGGATTCGATTTCCGGCGCCGGCGGAAACAGATCGCCAGAGTTTCTTTCACCTTGATATCCCCGTTTCCTAACAGTAAATAGGTACCTGGGAGTTAGACAGCGGTTACGGGCTGCATCTTGGGTGTGTGTGTGGGGGGGGGGGGGGGGAACAAAAAATGTTAGTTAGTAATTAGTAACAGTTGATTGGCGGGCCGAAAGAGCAGAGCTCAACCCCCGCAAGCACAACTAGGTGAACACACACACACACACACACACACACACACATATATACCAGGGTAGGGGGTCTGGTAGCCTGGTGGATAGCGCGCAGGAGTCGTAATTCTGTGGCGCGGGTTCGATTCCCGCACCATGCTGAAACAAATGGGCAAAGTTTCTTTCACCCTGAATGCCCCTGTTACCTAGCAGTAAATAGGTACCTGGGAGTTAGTCAGCTGTCACGGGCTGCTTCCTGCTGGGGGGGGAGTAGTTAGTAAACAGTTGATTGACAGTTGAGAGGCGGGCCGAAAGAGCAAAGCTCAACTCCCGCAAAACACAACTAGGTGAGCACAACTAGGTGAAAACAAACACACACACACACACACACACACACACACACACACACACACACACACACACACACACACACACACACACACACACACACACAAACTATACACACAC